ACTAGCAGTTAGTTCTAACCAAATCATTTCGTGGGCTAGAGAGTAAAAGTTAGAAACTTGTACACATAGGACATGTTTATTTGGAAAGATTAAATTATGGGATAAAATTTATAATTAGTGAATGGAATAGTCTGTTATTTGGTTTAAAAATTTTGCACCGAATCCTTAATATATTGGATTGTTCTATTCTATTCCCCGCCCGGGGGGGGGCGGGGGGGGGGGGGACACAAATATGGATAACTCATTCCATGAGATTATGGAGGTGTTTGTTTAGGTTTTTTTGAATCAACTTATAACTTTTAGCTTTGGAAAAATTATTTTGAACTGTTTGGTTAAACTTATTTCAAGCAGCTTCTGATTCTAAGAATTTATTTTAACTCAAAAAAACTGATTTTGAGAAGCTGCTCACCCCTTACTTCTGATTATCAACTTCTGCTGTGAAGATATTAATTTACGGCTTATACTCTTATATTTTTATATTTTTTTAAAAATAGAAAAAGGCCTAATGAACTATAGATTATTATTATTATTTTTTTTTTATGAGAAATGTAGACAAGTAGTGCATAACAAAAAATAAAAATTAATTGAAAAAACTATTTCACGGCTTATTTAACAAACAATACTCAGCAACTTAAATCTTTAATCCAATAGTTACACTAAACAAATTAACAGTTTTTTTAATAAAGTCATAAGTTATAATCCACTACAAGAAAAGTGAGTTTATGAGACAGAACTATTTGCGACGGCACACTTGCCGTCTCAAAAAGTCACTTTTTGCGACGGCAAAAAATGCCATCTAAAAAAAGCAGAGTATTTGCAACGGCACCATTTGCCGTCTCAAAAAAGCAGAGTATTTGCGACGACATCATTTGCCGTCTCAAAAAAACAGAGTATTTGCAACGGCACAATTTGTCGTCTCAAAAAATGAGAGTATTTGCGACGGTATTTGGTGCCGTCGCAAATACTCTGCTTTTTTGAGATGGCATTTTCTGCCATCGCAAAAAGTGACTTTTGTGTTTTTTTTTTTTTAGTGAATATTTTTAAAATTTTAATTTTTTTTTAGATGCACCTTACTTAGATGTATCTAAAAAAAAATTATGAATTTTTTTTAAAAAAATTAATAAATACATAAAAATACAAAAAAAAATGTATTGAAATATTGTATTTTTGGTATTTAGTGAATTTTTAAAAGATTTTTTTTACAGTTTTTTAATTTTTAGGTATATTTATGTTAGGTGTGTCTAAAAATTAAAAAAAAAACTTAAAATATTAAAAAAATTCAGTAAAAACAATATAACACGGAAAACAATAAAATATAATTTTCTCAAAAGAGTTTTTGGAAAACTCTAACCTAGCATAGTGATTGTGGTTTTGAGACAGCTTCATATATATACAGTCACAAAATGGTTTGAATAAATTTAACGGTATTTTTCTGTCACAAAAAAAAATTAAAAAAAATAATGTTGTCTTACTCTTTTGATATAACATTTCTCTTTTCATTCATTTTTTCATCTTCATGTCTCTCTGTCTCTATCTCTCTCTCTTCTCTTTATCTCTTTCACTCATCACTCTTCTTTCTCTGTCTGTCTGTTTCTCTCTTTCATTTTCTCTCTGTGTCTTTCGTTTATCTCTCTTCTCTCTATCTCTCTCATCTGTTTTCTCTCTCTATTTCTCTCCTCTCTATCTCTCTCATTTCTTTTCTCTCTCTCTCTCTCTCTCTCTCTTATCGTTCTATCTCTCTCTATCTCTCTCGCCTATTTCTCTTATCTTTCTGTCTTTTTCTTTTTCTGTGTCTCTCTCTCGCTCATATCTTTTTGCTCTATTTCTCTCTCTTTTTGTCTATCTCTCGTTCATCTCTTGTTTCTCTCTCTTTTTCGATCTCTCCATCTATCTCTCCATCTCTCTCTATTTCTTTTTCTGTCTATCTCTCTCTCTCTCTGTTTCTCACTCACTCATCACTCTTCTCTCTCTCTCTCTCTCTCTCTCTCTCTGTCTACTTGTCTATTTGTCTATTTCTCCCTCACTATGTTCGCCTTGCTCACTCTCTTACTCTCATCTTCTCTATTTATCGAGCTCCTTCTAGATTTATCGATCCACTATAAGAAAATGCACTTTTAGCGACCACTTTGTCTTTCTCTCGCTCACCACTTTGTCTCTCTCTCTCTCTCTCCTCTATCTGTCTCTCACTCATCTCTCTCTCTCACCACACATCTCCTCTACCACCTTCACCACTACTGCAAACGCCATTTCACTACCACCACTACTACCACGGTCACCATTTCACCTCTACAACTACCATTGCTACTACCACCGCCACCACTCCACTACCACTTCTACTACTACCACTATTGCCACTACTACTACTACCATTACTTCTCTTTCACCCCTGCCACTCCATCTACTCTACCTCTACCACTACCACAACTTCACCACTAATCTCCTTCGCCATCACCACCACCACCACCATCATCTCTTGTCCACCACCTTCACCACTACTGCCGCTTCCTCTCCTCTACCACTCCACTACTACCACTACTACTACCATTACTTCTCCTCTACCACCGCTATTCTATCTCCTCTACCACTACCACAACTTCACCACTTATCTCCTTCACAATCACTACCACCACCACTATCACCTCTTATCCACCACTTTCACCACTATTGCCACTTCTTATCCTCTACCAAAAAAATTTAGTTCTTGATTTTTAGTAACAAAAAAAATAAAAGGGTTGCAAAAAAATATTTTTCATTGACCACAAAAAATTAACTTTATTTTAATGAAAAATATTATCCCTACTTCTACCAAATAAAAAAAAAAAAAATTTATTCATTAAAATATATATGAATAAAATAAATTTTCAACATTACTAAATGGGGAAAAAAAATTCATTAACTATAAAAAAAATTATTTTAATAAAAAATAATTTTTTTTAGCAAATCCCCCGTTACGAAAAAAAAAGAATCGTTTTATTAGTTAAATATTCATTTGTAATGAAAACAAAAAAATAAAAAAAAATTCCAAAAAGATTTCCATTCCCCCAATTTCCATTCCCGCTCGTTTTCCCCCCCTCAACCAAAAATCCCCAAATCTCAAATCCCTAATTTTTGAACCAATAATCCCCATCTCTGTCTCTCTCGCGACTGTGAGCACGATAGACGATGGCGTCGAGTGACGGGGTTAAGGAGCCTCACTCTTTTGTTTCTCACTCTGTTGGCTTTCCCTCTGCTGCTCTCATTCCAGTGGCGAAGAAGCTGCTCAGAAACCTGATGTGTATGCGCACCGTCAGATTACTCTCTCTCCTTCCATATCACAAGGAGAAAAGCGCCCTCTCTCTGCTCTCTCTATATCTCTCTATAATTGTATTCATAATTCACATTCTCATCTCTTCTTCTTCTTGATTCTTCGCATCTGTAATCACCAACCCGCTCTATATATAGGAATTCCATTGGAAACCTTGTGTTTCCTTGACGATTTGATCTACATAATTGAAGTTTAGATTTTTGTTTTCGGTTTCTCCTCTGATCCGTCTCACAAAATGCCGTCTGCTCTAAAAGTTGATTATTATTTGGTTGAAGTTTTTCAGTTGAACAAGTCTCATTTGTTGTTTGTTTGTTTAGTTTCTTTTGCATCTCCCCACTTAACTAATTTTTAGTTTGACTGGTTTACATCTCTATTCTGTGTGTATTCATTTCTACACTTCCTAAGTTTGAAATGAGTGTTGTTGTTGATTGGAGCAGGATTGGGAGATCATTAATGATTTGAGGATCGACATGGCTAGGCTTGCATCAAAAAAGTTATTAAGGTAACTGATCTTCATTTTGTTTTGTTTTCCTTTCAAATTAGAGCCTTGCATAATTTATCATTTGCTTGAGCAATAACCACTAAAGAGGTAGATAAAAATATTTGGTTTTATTTGATGAAAAGCTATTGGAGCATCCCATCAAGCTTTTAACCAATTTTTACTCAAACTTGATGCTCTTATAAATCCATTTTTCTAAAAAAAAGCACTAGGTCATTTGGCATGTCCATTTCCCACCAAAAATCCAACTTTAGCCACTTAAAAATGCCATTAGTTAAGCCGAAAATGCTAGAAAGCTAGCATTTTGGGAACTGTATGATTAAGGAAAAAAAAACCCTTCTGTATTTTCCTCTATTAACTTTGTAGAACAGCCTTGTGTTTCCATAATAGGCAATTTTAGCAGAAGCTGTTTCCAATTACTTTGTTAATGCTTTATAATTTGTTCTGTGTTTTATCTTTGTCTCTCTCAAACTTGTTTACTTCAAATATCAAGTTGTAATATTTCCAAGTTCCAGGCAGAGAAGATGGTTCTGGTTGCCTGTGGATGGAGGCATACAATATCTGTCTCATATTCTGGTGGTTTATACACTTATGGGTGGAGTAAGTATGGTCAATTAGGACATGGAGATTTTGAAGACCACCTCATACCTCATAGGCTGGAAGCCCTGCGTGAAAATTTTATTTCACAGGTAACCTTTTCGGTTTTCATGGAGTTGATTATGATTTCCTAATTTGGTATCAGTTCCTTTATGTTCTTTTCTTTAGACAGGAAAATCTAGTAAAAAGAATAAGAATATGGAATTTGTTGAATTCTTTATCTACTTGAATTTGTTGTTTAGAGATCTTAATACTCTGTTCTCTTTCTTTGCCTTCTTGGTGACAAGGTACTGTTTAATGAGTCAATAGAGTTCGGTTGATGTATTTCAACTTGTGAAGAGTTTAGTTGTGTGGTTGACAGAGATTTTGAAATTTTAAAAGGAATTTACTTAATAAAAGAGCATCAGTACCTAAATGTTTAGTTAAAGGAGGTGCATATGATACACACCCTATAAGGGGTGTGTACCAAAGGGGTTCCCATATTATATTACTTGGTCCATTGACCTTAATGTTTAGTTAAAGGAGAATATTGTTGGTTTTGATTTCTTATATGGGGTCTTTTTTAATTATCACTATCTTTTGCTGGTTTGGTTTTTCACTTGCAGAAAGTAGTTCAGATCTCATGTGGGTGGAGGCATATACTTGCTTTTATTGAAAGACAAAATGTATTTTCTTGGGGAAGAGGTACAAATGGACAGCTTGGGCATGGGGAGTCAATTGACCGGTAATAGCTTTTGGACTGGCCCAATATTTTGACATTATGAGTTTCATATGATACTTTGTATTTGGCTTTGGGCATGGAATGCCTCTGAACTAGTACCCAGGGCTATTAAATAGTTTTTAAGTTGCCCGTTTTATTTCCTTTTAATTGTTTTCTAGCATAAGGTTGTACATTGTAGAATGGTCTACTTGTTCATATTTATTTGAGTTTACTTGTTTTTTTTTTTTTTTTTGTTTTGTTTTGTTTTGTTTTGTGGGATTGAACACCTAAGAAGTGCAGACACTTCTAAGGTATGTCCATGTCGGACATTCGTCCAAGCGTGTCCTATTATTTTTTTGAGAACCGGACATGTTTTGGACACTCTAGGAACGCATAAGTCTGTCATTTAGACACATGAAACACAGTATAGTTTGAACAAAATAACTTAAAATACAATGATAAAAGAAAAAACAATGTATATTTACGCCTATTAATCCCTCATCCTTTAAACTTTAGGAATTCATGTTATGTTGTAATTTTTAAATTTTTAAAATAAATATTTGTGTATGTGACGTACGATAAATTTTAAAATTATATATTTTGCACGTTTTCTACACGGTCTGTGTTTTGCATTTTTTCAATGTCGTGTTGTGTGTCTGTTTCTGTGCTTTGTAGTTGAACATCACATGCCTTCTCAATTATGGCATACTCTTGTGTAACTCATAAACTTCTAGATTTTTTTTTCCTCGAAAATTTGTAGAAACATTCCAAAGATGATAGAATCTCTGAGTGCGGTTGGATCTAGTGGACAACAGATAGAATCTTCAAAACTTGACCCATCTACAGGTGTGTGCCTTCCCTTTCTCTGTCTATATTTGTTTTTTAAGCAACTCAAGTTAAGAGTTTATTACACTATTTTGGACTACATTGAATTCCATTATTATTGATATTATTATTATTATTATTATTATTTTTCGTGAGCAGGGAAAGCTTTGGTTTCTCCAATTGAGAGATATGCAGTTGTTCCTGATGACAATGTAAGTGTTCTTTCCACAGTCTTCATTACTGGTGTTTAAATAGTTGGAATGTGTGGAACACCTGCTAATAGATTCACTTGTTTTTATTTTCCCCCCTTATTTCATCCCTTGTTCTTAAGTCTGGAGTGAAGTTGAAGTTAATGTTTACTAGCAGCATCTTCAGGTTCCTGGTTTGTTGAATCAGTTTGTGAAACGTTTTTCAGTTTACATATAATAATTTTCTCATTAGCTTTTATAAGTTCGCCTGCTTTTATAAGTTCACACGTATTAGGATTTGGCTCATAATCATTTTACATGCACGAGAGATAAGTTTAGCCCATCTTAGTTCAACCATGTGATAAACTTTTTTGAGTACACATGTCATAGTCTAATGCATGGAAGAAAAAAGAACCAAAGGACAAATGTCCAGCTCATGACAGATGGGCTTCAAAGCTGATGGACAATACTTAAAAACAGATGGGCCATTTCTGTATTTTATAGTAGTGTATTTATTTCATGTAAATAGTCAAACTGTGAATGTGTGGTGTAGTAAATAGCCATACTTCTTTGTTAAGATTCCAAAAAATAGAAAAAGATACTGGCAGGTCAAAAGCAGCTCACATATCCTTGAGCATAGACATGTTCTTAACTTGTTCATCACTTGAGATTTCTTTTAAATCCCATACTTGGTTCTTGTAATAAATGAACAAGGTGGAGTGAGCACCTGCATTTTTTCAATGTATCATTACTGGTGTTTAAATAGTTGGAATGTGTGGAACACCTGCTAATAGATGATGGAAGCGGCACTCATTAAAAGAAAAAAAAGGGGAGGTGGAAGAGGCAAGATTAAGTGTTCTTACGAGTAAATCAAATTCTAGGGCTTGAAGCTACAAACTAGTTATTCATATTTAAGTTTCAACAAGCACTGCATAGTGCAATACAAATGATATTTAAGCATACACGTATTTGAATATGATTGGAGGATATTTGAAATTTGTCAAATATTACAAAGTCTGTCACTAACACAGTTCTTTTATAGCATATGAACTTTGTACGTTGTGAATCCTAGTTCTTATCTTTGTTTTGTCACTATCATGGGGATTTATGTATTAGCTTTTATCTCTTAATGATTTTGATGGTATTTATTGCTTTGTTCTAGATTTTCTTCAAAAAGATTATAATTTGCAACCGTTATCTATTTATTTGTAGGTCAAAAGGATAAATTTTGCCTAGGGGAAGATCTGATTCTAGAAGTAAGGAATTTGCAGCTTGATTTTTGAAATAGGCCCAAAATTGAAATCTTGTTGGAAATTTTTTATTTTTTGTAAGAGCATTTAAATATCCAAGTGTGCTTATTGGTGAATTTCAGATTTTATTTTATTATTATTATTTTTTTTAGGATTGGGGTGAATTTTATAATTTAAACATGCTTTTATGAACATGTACAGTTTAATTGTTCTTTGTAAAATATTGAATTTGATGGTTTTATCAATTTTTATTTTCTGTTATGATTTTGTGAATGGAATGTAAATAACCAGCTCAGAGCATATTTTATATTAATTAAATTATGAAATTAAGTAAAAAGGTGGCGTTTTTGTTCAAAACGCCACTATATCTTGTGACGTCATCAATTTGACATAATTATTTAAGCAGATTTAATAATATACCGGCGTTTATGAAAACGTCACTATAAGTATCAGTGATGTTTATAAAACGCCTTATACCAAAACGCCGTCGCAAAAAAGCAATTTTTTGTTGAAACGTAACGCCTTTAGCGACGGTTTTATTGCCGTCGCCAATAGCTCTTTAGTGACGGTTCAGGTGCTGTCTCAAATAAACCTTTAGCGACGGTATTTTTGCCGTCGCAAAAGACCTTTTTAGCGATGGCAACACAGTGTCGTCTAAAAAAAACTCAGATTTTCACGCGTTATTTGCGACAGAATTTTTCCGTCGCAAAAAAGGCACTTTACCGTCGCAAAAAAATCGCTAAAACCCTTTTGCAACCCCCTTTGTTGCTACCCCCACTTGCCGTCGCAAAAAGCCATTTACCGTCGCAAAAAACCTTTTGAGACGGCGTTTGGGGTATTTGCGACGGCGTTTTACCGTCGCAAAAAAGTAATTTTTTTGTAGTGATCTGTTAAGTTATAATTTATAATCTATTTTAATAGTTACACCAAACGGGGCCTATATTTGGAAAGAAGGGTTGGGTTGGGTTTGGGACTATTTTGGCCAAAAAAAGACAAAATAGGCCTTTTAGCTCAATAAGACAAACATAATATCTAACCTATAATTATTACATTCTTTCTCTCACAAAAAGTCAAAAAAGTCAAAGTGTCATTCTCAAACGAGGCTTTTTAGCCCCAGGCTAAAATAGTCAAAAAGTCAAAAAGCTAAAAAGCAAACCCATTTCCCAAACGAACCCATAGTCAAATTATATTTTTGACCCTCTACTATTTAATATTTTTTTACAAATAAAATTTATTTATTAAATTATTTATACTTAGTAAAGTATAAATAATTATTTATTTTAATAATCATATGGTATTGATTATACTTAGTAAAGTAAAATAAAATTTAAAAATCTCAACCACAAATTAAAATAAATTTATGTAATTTTCATTAATATTCTATTTATTTAATTTTTTAAAAGTTCTAGTAAAAAAAATTAAATAAAATTTATAACTTAGATTTAATATTCCTACTATTTAGTAAAAAATTTAAAAGGGCAAAATAGTCTTTTGAATATTTATCATTCTCCATAATATTTTAAATAAATATAAGATTCAATAGAATAATTCAATCAAAACATTTAATCTTATGACTAAACAAACATAGAACTCGTTTGGAAAGTCTTGGTTTGAGATTTTTTGGTTAAATAGCCATAAAAAAATAAAATAGATTTTTTAATCCAACAAGACAAAACATCACATCTCACGTATAATCATTATATTCTTTCTCTTACAAAAAGTCAAAAAAATCAAAAAATCATTCTCAAACAAGACTTTTTAGCCCCAAAATAGTCAAAAAATTAAAAAATTAAAAAGCCAACCCAATTTCTAAACAAACTCATAGGATACAAATTCAGTCCAACCAAATAATTCAAAAATAATATTTCTCAAAACTAACAGTTTGACAAATTATGATTCCCTTATTCAATCCGTTCAAATAAACACTCCATATATATCTGAACCTTTGGGAGTATAGCCTCTGTACAGGAGTGTATGTATCCTCTGTAAGTTTCCTTTTCGATTCAAATAAAAATAAAAATAAATTTCTTTTTTTTGGAATTTTTTTTTTTTGAAAATTTAAAAAGCTTGACATTTCAAATGTTACTAAATTATATAGATCTGAAAAATAAAAAAATACATATAATTAGTGACTCTTTTTATTCAACTTTCTAGATTGGTCAGACGTGGAAGGTAAAATTTTATACACAAAGATAAAAAAATCATTAAATATTATTTGGATAAAATTATATTTTCTTTTAGTTGCCCTCAAATATAGCCATAAGTTATCATTCGTTATCCAACGAAATTGTACAATCTAATCATATTTTAGCTAGGTCTGACGTCCGCCCTTATCTTGATGATTCACATTGTGCCATAGCCCAACCCTTTTTATGATCATTTATGTCATATATATATATATATATATATAGTAATGTTAGGTGCCTCGAATTTGATCTTAATTTGAATGGTTCAAATTTTATTTTATCGGTTATCTGGCCGATAATCCGACAAAGAGGTTGACAGTCATGGTCGATAAGGTGATAACCGCGGTAGATAAGTGCTTCACCCCAATTGTTTGAGTGGTCATTCAACCCGTGAACACAAATTTGTGTCATTCACACCTAAAGCCCTCGAGATCTAAAGCATTTTTCATATATATAATAGTAATGAATTATCCGTATTTAAATGTACTCATAACATAATTTAACATCAATTAAAATCAATCACTTCTATACAATTGATCTATCCTTACCCTTTTCCCTCCCATTTTATATGTATCCATAATTTTATTTTAAATGAGTAAAAAAAAAATATTGTACAAAGCCAAATTTATGAAGTACTAAACGTATGATTCATAAAAAAAATACATTGATCTAAGAGTATCATTATGAAGCTTATTAGAGCCTTACTTTGGCTATTTTATAGCATAAAAATATAGAAATACACTTCATCAAACTCAACTCTTGACAAGCTACTTTAGTTGAATTTTAAACTACAAAGCTACATGTAGTAGAGAAAAAGTACTCAACCAATGATTTTAGATAATAAAATATTTAATATATTATATTTTATTTATCATTAATCAATTATTACTATATTAATAATAAACATGAGTAGTGAAATTATTAAATTAATGCAATTATAATACATGAGATAAAAAATATAATTTAATAAATTAAGAAAAATTATTTATAAACAAAATTTTTATAAAAAAAACTGAATCAGAATGATATAATTGTGTTATTTTTTAAAATATAAATTAGAATAGATGAGTGGAGCATAAAGTGTCACATTATTTTGTATGTAAATTCAATATAATTTTTTTAGGATAAATAACATTGACTTTCCTGAAATTTGGATACAACAAACTAATACATTTGGAGATAATTAAATCAACATCTTTATTAGGTGGTGTGTTGACAAGTGGTTTTGAGGTTAAAATAGTTACAAAAGATAAAATAGGCTATTTTAGTCACAACAAACAAAACATCACATCTAACCCATAATCGTTGCACTCTTTTCTCACAAAAAAACTCAAAAAAGTCAAAAAGTCCTTATCAAACCAAATTTTTTAGCCCAGACTAAAATAACCAAAAAATCCAAAAAGCCAAAAAGCTAACCCACTTCCCAAACGGAATTGAAACGAATATAGGTAGGGTTAAGACTCAAAGGCTCCGTTTGGGAAGAGTTAGATTGGGCTTTTTTTGGCTATTTTAGCCACAAAAGACAAAATAAATTATTTTAGTCACAAAAAATAAAACATCACATCTAACTCATAATCATTACACTCTTCTCTCACAAAAAAGCCAAAAAAGTCAAAAAATAAAAAAGTCCTTCCCAAACCAAGCTTTTTAGCCCAAACTAAAATAATCAAAAAAGTTAAAAAGTCAACCTACTTCCCAAACTAAACCAAAGATAAATATTTATTCATAAGACTAATAAATTATGAACAAAAATGAGTTAAGTTTTACGTAAATTAAAATCTTAAATGAGTCTAATATAATTATCCAAGCTTGTAAAATTTATTGTATTTTCTCCAAATTTTAAGAGAAGTGAATATAATTTATCTAATATTTTATTTATATATCATTATCCTATACAAATATGATCATTCATTTTTTTAATTTTCTCTTATATATTAAATTTGAAATTAAAAAATTAAAATAAAATAAAAAATTTATTAGAGAATATATTTGAAAAGATAATTAACTAAAATAAAAAAATAAAATTTTAATTAAAACTTAATTAAAAATTTGACTATTTTAATAAACAACACTGATTGGTGGTCTGAAAAATCATGCCTCAAATAGGTCAAAACACTCAAAACAACATTATTTTAAATATAAAATGGCATCATTTTAATACATTGAAACTATTTAAATCATAAAAATTCAAGTCACCAAACGATTTTCTTTAATAAAAATACTCTACCATGTAATTAGTTCACCGTACTCTCTTTACCATAAAGAGTAAAAAAAGGGAACATGAGTGTCAACCCAAATAATCATGGGGGACCTTCCAGTAATTTGCAGATCACTCTCTTTCGTCAATCACAACGAAATTTAGGACTTAAATGTCATTATCGAACATTTTGCCGGAAAACCCGATTTTCTCTCCCCGCGTTCCTCTCTCTCTCTCTCTAGATTTTTCTCCCAATCAAATCATACATATGATATAACCTCCAATTTGACTCTCTCTCTCTCTCTCTCTCTCACTAGGGTTTTCAGAATCTGATCGAGCTCAGTTCTTTGCCCAAGGGAGCAAATTCATAGCTGAGTTTTAAGCTCTGTTCAATGCTCAACTCTCTCTGCTCGATCTGTTGATGTCTCCACTGTAAGTCTAGGGTTTTATTCTGTACTGCATGCATTGCCTAATATATGTGTATTTGTGTACATAAATGTATATTGTATGTGTGTAAACATGTGTGAATGTAAGAAATGTATGCACATTTTGGATTTTTTTTGTGATTTGTTTCAGTTCCGTTGACTATGTGTTGTAATTTAGCTGTACTGAGGTGTGAATTAGGTAGGGAAGAGTTTTATATCAGTTTGTGGAATTGTGTGAAGTGCTTTTCTTTGATTGATTTTGATGAATTAGGGTTTAGAAGTCAAGGCCTCGGAAATGTCGAAACGTAGAGTAAAATGAGCAAGACAGAAGTAGTTTCGACGATGAAGCCAAAGCCACCTCCTGTTCCTCTCGGGACGCTGATCGGTCGAGAGCTGCGGAACGAGAAGGTCGAGAAGCCTACAATTAAGTATGGGCAGGCTGCTCTGGCCAAAAAAGGCGAGGATTATTTTCTGATCAAACCCGACTGCCAGAGGATTGCGGGCAATCCGACGACATCATTTTCAGTTTTCGCGGTAGTTGCTTTGTCAATTTGATTTTCTATGAGCTTTTGTTTGAAAAAATTATTGGGTTTATGGTATCTGCATTGATTGTAGTAGAAAATGACATATTGAATTGGGTTTATATGATAGATATTTGATGGGCATAATGGTATATCGGCTGCTATATTTGCAAAGGAGAATCTGTTAAACAATATTATGAGTGCAATTCCACAAGGCATTGGTAGGCAAGAGTGGCTTCAAGCCCTTCCTCGGGCATTAGTTGCTGGTTTTGTGAAAACAGATATAGAGTTTCAGCAGAAAGGCATGTATCTACTTCCATCATATTAGTGCTTCTATGCTCCATTTTTTTCTTTTTTTCTTTTTTCTTTTTTGTGTTCTTATTTTGCCTTTTGATATTGATGATAGGAGAGACATCTGGGACAACTGTTACATTTGTTGTGATTGATGGGTGGACTGTGACTGTTGCATCTGTTGGGGATTCACGATGCATATTGGACACACAGGGGGGTGTGGTTTCTCTGTTAACTGTTGATCATAGGCTGGAAGAGAATGCAGAAGAGAGGGAGCGTGTCACTGCAAGTGGGGGTGAAGTGGGGAGGCTCAATGTTTTCGGGGGCAATGAGGTGAAAAATAAATCTGTTGTTCACTCGTAATACTTGTAGATTAAGGACTAAATGACAATTTCTCGATTGTTTGTTTGGTTCATAGGTTGGTCCACTCCGATGTTGGCCTGGTGGATTGTGCCTTTCTAGGTCAATTGGTGACACAGATGTGGGGGAGTTCATTGTCCCAATACCTCATGTTAAGCAGGTGAAGGTGTGTAAATCCAATTCTCTTGGTGATCGTTTCTTGACTTTTATGGGGTAGTAGAATGTGGAGTTCAAGAATTTTATTTTCTTTTTTATTTATTGGCCTTTTAGCTTTCAAGCGCTGGAGGAAGACTTATAATTGCATCTGATGGTATATGGGATGCGTTATCATCTGATGTGGCAGCACAGTCTTGCCGTGGTTTACCAGCGGAACTTGCTGCAAAGCTGGTTGTTAAGGTGATTAGACATGAGCTTTCTTCTTAACCACCTTTATGCTTTTACTCATGCTATTTTTTTTATACTAATTCTTGTATATTCCGTTGTTTAGGAGGCTCTCAGATCAAGAGGCCTGAAGGATGATACAACTTGCCTTGTTGTTGATATTATTCCCTTTGACCAACCAGTCTTGCCTCCGACCCCAATGAAGAAACCAAATTTGCTTAGTTCACTTATCTTTGGAAAGAAATCTCAAAATTTTGGGAACAAAGCAACAAATAAGCTTTCTGCTGTTGGGGTTGTGGAGGAATTGTTCGAGGAGGGTTCTGCAATGCTTGCAGAAAGGTTTGTTTCTATAACTTGCCTTTGAAAATGATAAAGCACTAACTCTTAACGTTACTGGTCGGAACCATTTTGAAGACTAAAATCTTTCTCTTTGACCTATATTGCCTGGTGGTTAGGTACTCGGGTACTAATGTGATGAGGTTTAGATTCACTTGTTTGATCTATTTTTGTTATTTTTATGGTTAAGGTTACCTTGAATATAAATATAAATGGAATAATGTTTTACTGTTATCGTGGCTACAAGTGCAGGCAAAGGTTTGTCTTCTTCTATTTGTGATTGTAGGCCAGAAGTAGAGGACATGCTTTCTACCTGATTTAATACACCAGACTAATCTAATAATGTGATTGCAAGGAACAGAGCATATGATTGAATATCATTCACAGTCGGGTAGTTTGTTTCCTTTCTTCTTTGTGGTTAGCTTTCTTTTCTTTGGGGACTAGTTGGAAAATAGGTTTTGGATTAGCTGATCCAGGAATTCATGAGGAGTGCAGAGAATACCAGATGGATACAATCGCAATTTTTTTATTTTATTTATATACATTTTAAAAAAGGAACTGATATTAAATGTGCTCTTCAATCAATATTCAATATCCTAAAGTTGGGTGCTTCATGTTTTGATGGAGACTCAAGTTAACCCAGTGTTTTACAAAGCGCTAGGCGTACCGAGGCGATAAGGTCTCCTATAGCCTGAGCGCGAGGTGCGCGGCGAGGCCTGCGCCTTACCAAAGCGAGGCGCAAGTAGTAGAAGAAAACCAAAATTATAAAATAGACAAACTTTTCAGCATAACAAATATATATAAAATTCCAAAATTAATAAAGCATGTTTCACATTTCAAATAATTGATAAACATAACAATCATTCTTCAAAAAACTAGAAATATAATATCCAACGAAAAGATATGAAGTATCACATTCACATCCACAAAAAATTTCTAGTTTTAAGATCATCCACATAAAGTTCAAAACAACTAAGCGTCTAGTTTGTAGTTCAAAAAAGAAATAAAAACCACTTAATCAACAGCTGGAGTATAAAAATAGGTAAAGCCCATGAAGCCTACGTCTCGTGCCTCGAAAAAAAGCCCTCGCCTCAGCGTCTAAGCTGCACCTTGCATATTGCGCCTTGCCTTGACCCGTTCAAAACCGATTCAGGAATCTTGAAGGAGTTGCTATCCATGTTTGTAGAGAAGTTCAAAGCATGCTTTGGAAAGGTAGACATACTCTCATGGGTTCTTTGATGGTAGATATCTCCTTCCTAAGATTTCTCGAAACTGTGTAACTGTCTCTTGAGAGTGCTACATTTCCATATTATTTATATATTATCCAAAGAGTTTTCATCATAAGGGAAGTTCATGAAGTCTCAGATGGTGGCCTTCTTGAGATAAAGGATCTTACAAGGGGCAAGCGAGCCTTTATTCTTTCAGGATATTATGATATGTGGCTTTCCTTCTAGTTACAATGACTCCCCCTCCTTCCCCCCAAAAAAACAGATAAATAAATAAATATACATAAAATAAATTATACAATAAAAAGCAAGTATAATCATTTTGGTTCTTCACCAATTTTGCATAAAATAAATTATACAATAAAAAGCAAGTATAATCATTTTGGTTCTTCACCAATTTTGCATCATTACATATTTTTCCTTTTTTTATTTTGGGTTTTTTGTTTTTTTTTCTGACGGTGAACTGATTAGGAGCTGTCATCTAAATCATCCAAGTTACCAAATCCTCTTGCTCTGGGTATTCCCATACAAACTAATGTGTGACAAAGAGGTGTCTGCCCTGTGATTTAGAAACAGGTGACATGATTCTGTTTGCTTTCACCTTTTCAAAATTATATCAGCAGCACTATCCTAGAGAAAAAACTCAAAACCTAAGAAGTGCACAAATTAAACATTTATCTTTTCACCCATCATCATCATTTTGACAGTATAGATTTGTATTTGGATTGACTGTGTTTGGGAGAATAATTTCAAAACTCTCATTATAGTTATTGATATGCTGTGATGTTGAAACTATTCGGAATCAATAATTCATTAAAAAGGGTGGCCTATCTAGTTAGTTCAGCTATCAATGCTGGAAGCCCCTGCGGTTGTTCGGTTCGTAAGAGTATTTCTACTACTTATCCTTGTTCAATTGAATCATACTCAACAAATTACTTTGAAAGTATAATTCTTGTTGTGCCGATTAAAGCTGATTTTGTGGCTGTTGAAATTTTATGGTTGCAATCTATTTTTGAGATAGATGAAGCCTCTTCTGATCCCATAGAAGGAAAGAACGCTCTGAAGTTTATGTCATCTTGAGCTGTTCTTCTAAATTTATGTCCATCCTCTATGGAAATGCAGGCTGGGTACAGATTTTCCTTTGGACTCAAACTCTGGGCTCGTCAGATGTGCAGTTTGCCAAGTGGATCAATCGCCGAGTGATGGTTTGTCTGTTAACTCCGGGCCCTACTTCTCACCTGCATCAAAGCCATGGGAAGGCCCCTTCCTTTGCGCAAATTGCCGGCAAAAGAAAGATGCCATGGAAGGAAAGAGGTCCAGTAGACCCATAATGACTGCATAATCTGGTAACGCAGTAAATATTAATATATTTTTTCTCTGGCAGTGTGAGCATGCTTTGGTTTTTTCTTTTGCGGTGGTCATTGTTATAGATGTGTGTAAGAAATGAAGTAGAGATATTGAAAGGTAGGTGGTTTTTTCTCTTTGCAATTGGCAAAAAAGTTTGTGTTGGTTGTGGTTTGTGCTCAACTGTTGGACTGACTGACAGAGAACATCATGCTACCTGATGCTTATGGTTGTGATAGTTTGATTGCTAACAGCTTGAATATGCAAGTAAAAATGATTGTTGCAATGACATCTTCTGCAATATTTCATTCGTGTTGAACATTTCTACAACTTGTCCTAGGAGCCTTATGGTTTCATGGTATGGCATGTATATTATTTTGTTGTTGCACGTGTAGTAAAATTAAATAGTAACATGGCATTTTGGCAAGAACCTTTCCCCTTCTTTCTTTTTTGCCCAAAAAAAGCCAATTACTGCTTGAACTTTTAAATGTATTATACCTTTGCTTTTGTCATATGTGATTGGATGGTGCATTTTGTTTGCTATATCTGGTGTTTGGATTGAGGGTCTCTTCTGTAAATGGTGGATCAACATAGTTCAAACAAATGCTGGCCCCTATTTTGTATTTAAAGTATCAATTACCATTCCAGTCTTGTAGTTTGCCACATGCTGAATATTTAGATATAGGCTCTGGTGGTGGCACTGAGAGAGTCGAACACTTAAAATGAGATTTGAATTTGTGACCCATACTTCTTGAGGTGCCTATTATGACTATCCACTTCGCCAACTCCTTGTGGTTAAATTTGGTTATTTTACTACTTCAAAGCCAATTATTTCTCTATAGGTAAGGGTTATATGCTTGTTATATTTTGCATTCACTGTTGACTGAATCTTACCTGTAATCTCATCTTCCTATTTTATGTCCTATTTCAAATATTTTTTGTGGAACTAATTGAGACATTTTAGTTGTCAATAAGTGTCAAAATATCATGTTTTTGCTCTAGCAATGCATTTTTATTTTTATTTTTTTAAACATGATTCAATTTCTATTATACAATGTGATTGTGTATATCTGATTGCATGTATTTGTAAATTTTTTCAAATAAAATTGTAATTAAATTTTTTTAATCAAATAATTAATGTTTCTCCTATCTAAAGAATAATAATTAATATTTCTAAAAGCTTCAATTCATTAGCTTAATTCAAATTTGCCCTAAGTAAATAAAATAAAATTGGATGGTTAGTATTTTTTGATGGACTGTCTTCAAATTGTATTTAAATTAAAATTATTTTAATATATCAGTTATATTTGAAATATTTATTAAATTTATATTAAAAAATACATAATAAAGAGTATTTTTTGGCATCATGCTAGTATTTTGGTAGAGACAGTAGCACTATGATATTTATCATGATGGTGTAATTGTTTGTATTATTATTTATTTTATTTGTAAAAAAAAGGTGTAAAAACTTGAAGCTCAGACTCAACTTGAATTAGGAATATCTGAGTTGAGTGAAATTGGAAATACAATTGAGCCTTAAAAATCAAAACTCGAGTATAGTTTTTTCTTTTACCTTCAAGAATGATCTAAATGTATACGAAATGAAAAATAGTGAAAAGCATTAGGTAACTCAAATTATAAGGGGTCCTTTATTTTTATTTTTAAAATATCTGTGTGCACTAAATTAGTTATTTATTTATTTTCTTTTCTTATGTAAACAAAAAATAAGAAATTGACAATGTTATTAAACACTTTTTTTGGTAAATCAAAAAGCAATTATATGTCTATCGAACCTAAGGGAGTGGGAAACTTGTCATCCAGGCCAAGAGATATGAAAAGCAATAAAAAAATAATGTATAGTATAGTTTATATCTACGTTACAAAATTTGCAAATTAACGTATAACATTGGTTACTGAAATGAGCAAAAACAGTATTGCAAATCAATGTTCTGTAAATTCGGATTGTGCCAAACCAAAAAATCAATCAGGTCATTGATTTAAATTGTCAATTCAACTGGAATTGAATTATGACGTCGTAATTAATTAATAAATATATTAAAATTATACTTAAATAAAAAAAATATAGATATTAGAATACTTATATACATTTGTCATATATATATATATATATGTGTGTGTGTGTGTTTATAAGTTGACTGTTTAAAAATAAAATTAATAATTATATTTGTCAAATGATGCAGTTTGATAGTTGTAGGGTAAGCCTTTTAAGCACGTGATTGGCAATTCAATCCACCATAACCTCTCATTTTATAAAGGATAATGTTAGATTTTATTGAAGAAATATAATGAAGAGCTTTATAAAGATTCTTTTCTTCATCTTTACATTACACGAGTTTGGAATTAATTCAGATTGGAACTTAAACCAGTCAAAAAAATACCCCCACAAAGAGGCAAGGACAAACAAAGAGCTAGGGTGCCCATTTGTAGAAATTTTGCTAAAGTTAATTATAATGTCAGCAACACAACATATCAATGAAGTTTTATTAAATACCAAAAAAACAAAAGGATTTTTAGAAGTGCAACTGCAAAGTTTGTTTTAAATGAATTAGCACTAGGGATGACAATCTGAACTCGACCTGATGGGGACCCGACCCACCGACCTCGAATTGAGTTGTTATTTCCCGCAAAATATCCCCGATGGGCCAGGGATGGTATTCAAAAATTAATCCCTGATAATATCCAGGCCGGGGACGGGGATACATGTCTAAGCCTTGGACCCAGCCCTAGCCCTGGCCCTGGCCCTGGCCCTGACCCTGCCCCGTTTAGCCCCCGACATAAAATTACCATTATGTCCCTGGGTATATATATGTGTGTGTTTATTTAGGGTTTGACACACTCTCACTCAGTCTCACTCACACACACAAACACAAGCACAATAACGCTGCTCCTCTCTCTCTCTCTCTCTCGCTCGCCGCTGTGTTGTTTAGGGTTTCGTCTCCCCCTCTCTCTTTCTCTCATCGCCGATCCTCCCTCACCGCCACTGTTGTTTAGGGTTTCGTCTCCCTCTCTCTCTCTCTCAAACACACGACGGGGCTGCTCTATTTGCTCCCTCACCATTGATCCTCCATCATCTCACCGTCGATTTTGAAAGGGTATCTCTCTCTCTCTCTCTAGGGATTTCGATCTAGGATTTACATACATATATATATATATGTGTATATATATCTGAGTGTACAATTTGTTTACTCGAAAAATACACCTTCAAACTAGATAAATAATCCTTGATCCATCAGTTTTTTGTGCTTGAATTTTTTATTTTTTGGGGTAAAAGAAATTGATATAGTTAAGTAGATAACCATCAGTTCTTCTATTATACTGCAACTATCTGGGGTTGGCGTAACAAAACCTATTTCTCTGTTCTATATCTTTTGGAGGTTCATTTCTGGCATCTAAACTGTACATCCATACATGCAAATGTAATTTCTAGGTATTTCAGTTTTCTTCATTGCTGATGAACCGTGATTGTGGGTGTGTTTCTGTGTGACACAATTTTCTGATAATCTGCTGATATAATTGCAACAATTTACATGACTTACCACAAATACTTTTGGGATTTAATATTCATTGATTGCCATTTGATGAGATTCATCTTTTGCTCATGTGCAATGTGGGTATGAAAGTCATTTGTCCAGTAACTTTACTGACGCAACTGCTGAAACAATTTAAATTTGCCACTGTGTTATTTATTTTTTTATTTTACCATGGTTGAGAAACCTACTAGAATTATCATCAACTTTTGCCCCGTTAGCTTGTATAGGTGTAATTGTTGTTCACTCGCTTTGCTCAAGTTCCTGGGTTAGCGGCACAAATCCTTATCACCTATCCAGTTTATTAGATGTAAACATGTGGTTATGCACATTCATAGGTTGTCATAGGTGAAATGTCTATTGTTGCTTGCTGAATCATGTAACATGCTTTATCTTTTTAAAGTTATAATAATCTACTAGAATCTGTTTATTATTGATCTGTATATCTGTTTATAAAAACAATCTTTCATTTTATATGAACTGTGGGAATAACAATTCATGGAACTTTCAAGAATTTATAGGGGGGAAAAATGAACCACAATAAGGGGATATATCATTGTTGATGAACCGTGATTGTGGGACTAATTATTCTCTTTGCAACTTGCTGAATTTTCCTTTATGTGGGCTGCTGGATGGAATATGCTATTTGAATGTGTTGAAAATATGTTGATAGATATGCTATTGACAGATTGCCATCCCTATTGACAGATATGTTATTTGAATATGTTGAAAATATGTAGACAAATTATTTGAAAATATGTTGACAGATTAATGCCATTGAGTGGAGCTTGAATATGCTATTTGAATATGTTTTGTGTGGAAAATATATTGACAAATATGTTTGAATAGCATGTTTATAGATCAAAAAAATATGTTGACAAATTTTTAAAGATGGACTGGATGTTATTTTTTTGTTTACAGATTTTTTAATTTGAAAATATGTTGACAAATATGTTTGAATAGAATTTTTACAGATCAAAAAATAATAATAATAATAATAATAATAATAATAATAATAATAATAATAATAATAATATGATATGCTACTTTAATTCGAGGAATTTGCGGGGTCGGGGAGGGCCGGAAGGGGGGAGCGGTGGCGATGGGCTCCCTGTCGGGGATCGGGGATGGGGAGTGTAGTCCTCAGCCCCGCCCCGTCCCGTCTCGTTGCCATTTCTAATTAGCACCCTATCCGCGGCCAGAGACGCATGTCAGCATCTAGTTACAAATCAGAATAAGTGAAGCAATATATTTCTTATAAATACGCAATTTAAGTAAACAAGTATGTTTCTTACAAATACACGATTCTTCAGTTGCTATCCCTTTTGAAAATAAAATTTTAGCAACGCGAGAACAAATTTTTTACCAAAGCAATCCCTCTCCTGCCAATAATAGATAAAGAAAACCGACACATTAGCAACATTTGGATTTGGAAATACTGGTATCTACAGAATACAAGATTATTGTTCTCTATCCAAATGATGTCGATGAAGCGATAATGCAGTACACCAATCTAACTAGTTTTTTTTGTCTGTCCCGTTGGTTTTTTTTTTTTGTTTTTGTTTTTTGATATTTTTCTCCACACTAGTGGTCCATTTTGCGGTTGCAAATACTAATAAGAGAAGCTAACTTACGAAGCTCCTCAAAGGAAATATTGCTGATGCTTTGTCCTGTTTTTATAAGGCAAATCTTCCCTGCAATAAAACATACTTTCACAATTTAAAGGTTTGCACCAAACTCAAATCTCCATGTAATCGAATGTATATTCCTTCT